AGTAGGAGCGATACAGCGCCAAGGTTGTTTTCACTGTAGAAGGCAGGTAACTTGAAAATCGCAATGACACCAATTGAAAATGCTACAGGTACCAAGTAGAAGACCTGTGGGAATATGTAAAGCCATGTTGAATATATATATATATATATAAAGGGCAACTGTTAATTCTAGAATAATGCAAGGAGGTGTCTTCTTCAGAAGAGGATTTTTCTATTTGATAAAATGGTTACCTTCGCTATCAAAGACAAAGTATATTGATGCACCATCTATAACAAAATTAATATTCTATCATAATAAGATAGTTTCAGATGTTGGCAATACATTTATATTGAAATTTCTGGAATCTAACTTTGGGTATCAAACATTAAGCTATAGTGCACCCTATTAAGCAGTGACCATCAAATTTTATTGCATAGTTATGACTTTTAAATTAATGATTCCCAGAGTCCTCTATCAGAGATTTCTATTCTTTAAGTTTAAAATGTGTGTCCCCCTAGACTCTGTTTTTTATAAGAGTATCTGAAATAATTCTGCTACACATGTTCTATAGAGACAGTGATTTGGAGAGCTGACATGGTTTATAACAGGAACTTTATCAGGCTAATCCCTTTGATATACCTCTTCAGGATGATGTACTGGACTGTTGTTGGGGATCACTCCCACATAGAAGAAGCAGCCATGGATGGAACACTGAGAAGGATTTTAGTACAAAAGAATTTACAGAGACCCACAGGTATGCTGTACTCTTGACACAGTCTAAAATGTGAAGCAGTATGGTGAGCATGTTAACATTATAATTCGTTCTAGTTTTGCTTGCAATATAATCATTTTTACAAGCAGATAAAATAATTTATAGTATGACTTTATGAAAGTCATTAACATTTCATGTTGTATTTTCCCAACTCGAAAGTCAGGTCCTTATCACACTGCCAGTGATGTTATGGAGATGTTATTTGAAAATTGTCTAAGTTGTAATGCTATTAGTGGGATTTCACATGCATGAAATTTTGACAGTTTATAGCTATGTCTTAGGATATTTTTATAGTTATCTGCTAATGATGTTGGGATAGATGGCACTATTCCTAGAAGATGAGAAACTATGTGGACAAAGAGGTGAGAAAATATACACATTTTTTGTGAAAGACAGGTTTGATGATTCTTGACATTTCATTCACAGCTCTTTTCAGTCTGGCTTCATTCTCTCTCTTAGTCATAGCAGCCACATTACAACTGCAAACTCTTTATTCCCAAGGACTGCTCAGGAATGCAAATCTTTCTCTACCTGCCTGATCTAGTTCCCATGTCCTTTTTCTTCCATCTCTCAGAAGTGGGAAATAAGTCCTTCCAACTTTTGCTTGCCTAGGTAAAGCTTACCCATTTATAATGTCTAATCTCAGTGCTCTTCCTTCATAAAATTATTTTAGACTACAGGAACCTCATCGATTTTATGTTGCTTATCCCCATCCTCTAAAACTTTGTCAAAATAATAGACTAAAAACTCTGTGCATTTTACAATGTTAAACATGTATATGTGTGTATACACACACACACACATACACACACATATAATCTATTAATAGTGACACAGATATATAAATGTCAGATATATAACATGTCAGAGGTAGAGAGAAAACAAGCATGTAGTAAGGGATGGGCAGTACCCTTTTCATTATGATAGAGAATTCATCTCTGAAAAAAATATTTGAAAAGAGGGGCCCTACCTAGCAGTGCCACAGGTTAGGACACAGCATTGCAAGGTAGCCGCATCTGCTTCAGTGTGAGTTCCATCCCTGGTCCTGGAGATGACCAACATGGCGCAGCAGATCTCTCCTGTCTCTCTCGCTGCTCCCCTCAGCAGTGTATGTTACCGATCTGCCTGTCCTGCTCCCCACTCTGTCTCTGGTGAATCCTCTCAGCGGCCCAGCACCTCTGGCTTGTACCCCAGTTCTGTATGAATAAATAAATGAACCTTTAAAATTTTGAAAAGAGAACTGAGTAGAACGAGAGGGGAAATTATAAGAGGCCAGATGCAAAATCTCTGGGATCACACATTATTTTCACTTTTATAGCCTTTGTAATCCTTTGTTTTTGTTTTTGTTCTTTTATGGAAAAATCTTTTTTTTTAAGATTTATTTATTTATGCATACAGAACTGGGATTCAAGCCAGAGGTGCAGGGGTGGTGAGAGACATCACCAGTGACAGAGTGGGGAGCAGAACAGGCAGATCAACAGAGTACACTGCTGAGGGGAGCAGTGGACAGGTAGGGAGAGGTCTGCTGCGCCATGTGGTCACCTCCAGGGCGGGGATCAAACTCGCACTGAAGCGGCTGTGGCCAGCTTGCAGTGCTGCATCCTAACCTGCTGCGCCACCAATGAAGTCCTGTAATTCTTTGTTTTTAAAAAAGCTTTTTATTTTTAACTAATTTTACACTTATAAAAAAGTTTGCAGTTAAATTTTTTCTTTTTATTTTTGGTTACATTTCTTCCTGGTCTCTACTGCTCTCTCCCCTCCTGTCCTCTGCTGCCACAAGCCTCTGGATGCTGCCTTTATATCCTTGTCTCCCGGCTCAGGTGTGTGTACTCACGCAAGCCCACATCACACTCCAGGGGTCCACAGTCAGGCCTGCTTATAAGACTGCAGGTGTTGATCATAAATGTTCATGGGTGGAGATGGATAACACCTGATAACTTTCATTTACCCTACAGAGGATATTTAGAAGGAAGTGTGAGACAGCGAAACTTATGCATTTTATTTATCCAGGACAAGCCTATAAAAGATGTAAAAGGAAAAGCAAAATAACTCACAGAGATTACATCTCAGGTTAAGTCCAATTGTTATTTTTTAAGATTTATTTATGTAAGCATACAAGAACTGGGGTACAGGTCAGAGGTGCAGAAGATGAGAAGAATCACCACAAACAGAGTGGGGAGCAGCACAGGTGAAGTGACTGAAATACACTGCTGAGGGGAGCAGCGGGTGTGACAGAAGAGGTCTGCTGCACATGTGGGTCCGTGCCTGGCCTGCCAGGGCTCAAGCATGTGCTGTACTGGCTGGCACTAGCACTGTGTCTTTGACCCCTGCACCACAAGTATCCCCTACACCACCAGGGAGGCCCCTAAGTCCAGTTTTAGTTGAATCTCACATGTTTTGGTACATCAACCTATGACAGTCAAGGAAGTGAGCTTTGACTCTGATCTGCCCCACCATTCACTCTTTGGTCTTTGGACTCTTACTTCCCATGTAGAACTACCGCTATCAGTTAGTGCAGTTCTCTGGAGAAGCAGGTGAAGTAAATCCTTAGCAGCTAAAGCAGCAACTGGAGATGGGTACCTCATAAGGGAAAGTTGAGCTGGGCAGCAGCATTCCCACAATAGGCCAAGTGAAATGAGAATGAATTGGACATTTAAACATTCTGCTCATCAATGTGGGTAACCTAATGATAAGCACATTAATGCTGTTCTTTTTTTTCTCATGGGGTTTATATTTGAGAAGAAAAAAAAAAGTGAGACATGAACAGAAATAACTGCAGTTTTGGTAAAATGTGAGTATGGCTATATACCTGTGGGATAAGTGAATTCATTAGGCTTTTGCACCACCAACCTCTGTGCCCATCACCTGTGGCCTTGATTGTGCTAATGCAGGAAGCACTTGGGAGCATAGACAGGCGCCTGGGTGCCTGATGGTGGACACCTAGAGTATTGGTAGGTGTAGGTCGTGGTAGGTGTACACACCTCAGCCTAGAGGTCACAGCTATAAAGACAGCTACAAAGGGAGGATAGCTTGAAGAGGATGAGCAAAATGACTATGGCAAGGTCATGAGAGAACAGCAGAGAGAACACAGAAAAAGAGTTAAGAACCATGGGAGACTTGGAGGCTCAGTTACCTGGCTGCCTCTCAGCCTCCTTACAGCCCCAACCCTCTATCAGTCCTGTACCTGCCTCCTTCCTTGCCTGGTATACCTGTGTGTTGATTTCCTGAGAGCATTAAAGCCTTAAAAACCCAACAAGGGCTCTGGAACTCTCCTTTATCCATCTGGCCAAGTTAACAGTGAACCTGCCCATGCTCAAGAAATTTCAGAACAAGAGGGATTATTTCCAATACAAGAAAACTGTGTGTCATTTTTTCCATTTGAACATGTTTTGAAAAGTAGACATTTCAAAGGTAGGTATAAAATCCATCATGGGGCTGATTTTGTGAAGGTGCTCTTTGAAGCCAATAATATTGGTTTCAATTCCAGAGGGTCACTTGTTAGCTGTGAGATCTGAGAATTGAACTTATATTCAAAGTTTGTATTTTATCATTCACAAACTAAAAGATAGTCATAAAAACTTAAAAATTTACTTTATATATTGGATATTATAACACTCTGTGCTATAAAACCATTGTCTATCACATGGCTTGTCCATGGCTTTAGGACTTATGGTATACTGGAAGGGAGACATGTGGGTAATGTAATATGAGCTGAGAACCAGAAACTTTAAATGCCAAAGTATATAATATATATATAATGGACCAGGTAATGATATAGAAACTGCAAGACTTGTTAAAAGTCTATAAAATTGTCTGGACAAGAATGTACATAGCTTAAACAGAAGAGAAACAATGGCATTAAAAAAGGGGAGCATGGCCCTCCCTGGTGGCGCAGCGGGTTAAAGCACTGCACTAAGAAACTAAAGCCACTTCCGCAAGAGTTCGATCCCCGCCTGCCCCGGAGGCGACCACATGGCGAGGCAGACCTCTCCTGACCCACCCGCTGCTCCCCTCAGCAGTGTACTTCGTCGATCTGCCTGTTCTGCTCCCCGCTCTGTCTCTGGTGAATCCTCTCACCCTCCGCATCTCTGGCCTGTACCCCAGTTCTGTCCAAATAAATAATAAAATAAATCTTTAAAAATAAATAAATAAATAAAAAAGGGGAGCATGTATGTGAGAAGCAAATCAGAGTTAACATAGTAGAATTACTAAACAAGTAGAGAAAGGAAATGGCTATTGGAGGAATATAAAGTGAAATTAAAATATTTATATGAAAATGTGTTGTATATTTATACAATGGAATAATAGTGTTCAAAAAAGACAAATTCAGGTCATTTGCAGCAACATGAATGGAGATGGAAGGATTTTGTTAGATAAATTAAAACAAGAAAAATAGATGAATATTGGGTGGCCTCACTTAACATGGAATATAGAGAAATTGAAAAAAAGGTCAAGAAAAAGTCAAAACTAGCAAACTGAACATAGAACTGAGACATATAATAAAGGAAGGGGCAGAGCTGGTCTCTAAACAGGGGAGGGAAGAACACAAGGGAATATGGGGGTGCTTCACAGGTGATATGGTGGTGGGAGAACGGTGGGGCAACAGCAAAGTAAGACAACAATTTAATTAATAAAAACAAATTTAAAATAAAATCATACATATGAGCGACTTTTGGGTTTTTTCATCCCTCCCTCCCTCACTCAGTTAAACACATTAGATGCTCACTAGATGGTTGGTATTATCTGTAATCTAATATATGCATCTCTACACACACAGTCTTCATAGTCTAATGTGAGGGACTAAAAATCAAAAGGAAAAATGGTCTTTGTGTGTTTTTTTCATGTATATGCACAGACACATGTGTGTAAGTGACTCTGGCCAAGAATGGAATACTACTGAAGTGTCCCCTTAGAGTAGGGAGGAAAGCCGTTTTGAGGAGCTGATTGCAAAAACAAAAGTAACTATAATAAATCAAAATCAT